TTGGGAATTCCTTTCCACAAATCTATGCTGATTTTGTGACTTGTATCTTCTTTTCCTTCAGCAGTTTCTGAGTCCTTTGTAGCTCAATGGTTTTTAAACCTGACTACACATTAGAATTACCAGCGGAAGGGCTGAGGATGTAGCTCAGTGTCACTGTGCCTGCCTGGTAAGCACGAGGTCCTGAGTTTGATTCCCAATACTGAAAAATACATACATACATACATACATACATACATACATACATATATACATATATACATACATACAAACATCAGAAGAATGGTTTGGATCATAACTCAGTAGTGAGGCACTTGCCTGGGCTCCATCCTCAGCACAGGAAAAAAAGTTATATATGTGTGTATTTGGCAAAATGCACTCACCTCAGTGGGTAGTTTTAAAATCTTATTTCAATGTCTAGAATAAGACTTTAGTGTCCCTTCTGGATGATGTCAGTACCCTAGGAAACTGTAGGAATACAAACTTCCTGATTCCACATGCACTTCACTGAGTGAGCTCTGGCAGAAATGTGTAAAAGGTTCCAGGTGATTCTTGTGCAGGCTAAAAATTAGAGAACCACTAACTCTATAGTTGTACTTTTTGAAATTTCACTTGTATTTTAACCATCTGAGACCTTGCACAAATTCTGACTAAATTTTGGATGGATCTGAGACTCCTGAGTTAACAGGCTCCAAGTATGCTGATGACCACACTTTGAGTTGCAATTTTTTTAATGGGCTATGTAAACATTATGTAATTATAATTAGACTTTTTTTCTCGTGGTAGAGAAATGAACCCAGAACCCAGGGTCTTTGCCCTGAGCTACACCTTCAGCTCTTTATTGAGGCAGGATCTCCCTAAATTACTAAATTGACCTGGCTGGATAAGAACTTGGGATTGCCTGCTTTAACCTCCCAGAGCACTGGGATTATAGGCATCAGCCGCCACTCCCAGCTGCATACTGCATTAGGTCTTTTAGTCCTAAAGAAAATAACCTTTATGAGTCTTGTTCTAAATTTTTTAGATAAAACTAGAAAATCCTTTATGTAGCCATTGGTTTCCTAAGATTATAGCTATAAGATTATTCCAAGAATTAGGGTATCCAACTGCAAAATGGCCAAGATGCATCTCTTCCCTTCATCCTCCCTGCCATAAACCTTCCCATTTCCAAACCTGGTTTCTATAGAATCCCCTGCCCAAGACCCCATTTCTAGCCCAACTGAACCCACTGGTTAAATGACTGCCCTATGTTTTATTTGGGGGATACACACACACACACTTTTTTTTTTTTGGTACCACGGAGTGAATTCAGGACCTTGCATCTGCCAGGCAGGTGTAGCGCCATTGAGCTACATCCCCAGCCCTGAAGTATATTTACTAGCAGAAATGTTTTGTAACACCCAAGATTAAGCCAAGTTCAAATAACTACGGTAGGTCAGAATGCTTGTTTATCTCAGATAACACATTTTGGAGAAAATTTGCTTCTCGGAGATACTGATACTCCTACAGCAGTGATGGCAAACATTTTAGAGACCGAGTGCCAAACTGCAAGCCAAAAGCCACTTATTTACTGCAAAGTGCCAACAATGTAATTAAACCTGATACTGAGGTTTTAATTTATAAATAACTATATATTAACATCTTTTATATTAAAAGAATACAATAACATGCAAGCCATATGTTCATTGCTACTGTCCTAGAGTCTCCCTCTCTTTTTTTATCTTACTATGTGGGTATAATAACTAAGAAGAATAAAAGCCCTGGGTTCAGTACCCCACTAAAACAAAACCAAACCAAACAAAGAGGGAATAAATATACTCGATTCATTTGGGTTCCTTAATGAAATGTAACATGTGTTTTCTGTATTTGGAATTATGCCTGCTGGAAAAAAAAAACCCAAATAATTACCTTTTTAAAATAGACTTTTATTATAAAATATAAAATCTTTAAAAATGATTATTTTAAAATTTTATTTACAATATTAAAAATTCAGTAATTTGCAGAAGAAAGCACCACATTAAAAAAAAGATACATTCATAAGAAACAATCTAAAATGCATACAATAAAATGATTTAGGGCCAGGCCTACCTCGCAAGCTCAAGGTTTTGAGTTTGATCCCTGGTACAAAAAAAAAAAAAAAAAAAAAAAAAAAAAAAAAAAAGTTTAACAGTAATATAACATTAGCAAATCAAAAAATTCAGAAACTTTTCCTAATCATAGATCAAAATCAGGGGTCTCAAACTTAGATGTCTTCAATGTTGAGTAGGAAAGACAAAGTGGAAAAGTAGTGTGATATAAGAGGGAATGCAAGGGCAAACTTGGGAATGCATGCCCAGTCTAAAGACTTTTCAATTTTTTGTTTTTGCTTTTTTTACAGGGTCTTGCTATGGAGCCCAGGCTGGCTTTGAACTTACAGGGATCTTCCTGCCTTAGCCTCCCAAGTGCTGGGATTATAGGTATGTGCCACCATGCCCAACTTGTGAATATATTTTTAAAACATCAAGTAAGTGATGAAATACTGGACTATATATGGTGGTGCATGGCGCATGCCCATAATTCCAGCTACTTGGGGGCTAAGGCAGAAGGACTGCAAATTCAAGGCCAGTCTGGGCAATGTAACAAGAATCATTATCTCAAAATTACAATTAAGAAAACAAAAAGGGCTGAGAGCAATCCCTGCTACTGCAAAACAAAGAAAAATAGTCTCTCACATTTGGGAAAAGTTAGTTATGCCTAAAAATTTATTAAAATCATATCAAGAGAGGGGCTGGGGATTCAGCTCAGTGGTTTCACCGCCTGAAGGCAAGGGCCTGAGTTGAGTCAATGCAAAAAAAAAATAACAAAAAAAAAAAAAAAAAAAAAAAAAATTGCTGGGTGTGGTGGCCCACGCCTGTAATCCCAGCATTTGGAAGGCTGAGGCAGGAGGATCACTGTGCGGTTGAGACCAACCTGGGCTACATAGTGAGTTCCAGTTCAGTCTCAACTACATAGTGACACCCTGCCCCGAAAAACAAAACAACAACAACAAAAATATCAAGGGCCAGGGTCGTGGTGCACACCTGTAATCCCAGCGCTTGGAAGGCTAGGCTGAAGGATCACCAAGAGGTCAGGGCCAACCTGGGCTGAATAGTGAGTTCAAGGCCAGCCTGAATGAACTACATAGCAAGACCATGTCTCAAAAAAAACTTGTATTGAACTTTCATTTATCAAATGAAAACCACACACTTAGTATATTATTGCTTAGTAAGAAATGCTTATTTAAAACAGAATAAACTATTAGTTTTATCAAAGTCATTGTTCAGAAAGCGTTCAATAATATCTCACTATATTCATGACAAAGTCATTGTAATTCAGTTGATGATAAGTTTTATTTTATCTTTAAAGGGTATTTTGTAGAAGAATTTCAGCAGACTTTATATTTGCAGTTAAAACTAAAGGTTCTACTCTGCACATGTAACACTGTTTTAGCTCCTAAGCTGTTCTGTATTTCTTTGTTACGGCAGGGCAGTTTTTAAAAAATTACTATTTAGTGGGTCATCAATTATGTCACATTAATAATTTTATTTTTAATTTTTTCTTGAGACAGGGTCTTGCTATGTAGTTCAGGCTGGCCTTGAACTCATGGCAGGTCCCTTGCCTCAGCCTCCCAAGTACTGAGATTACATGTATGATCTACCTTACCTAGCTCATTTTAAATGATTATAAAAATTAAGATGGAGACCTGGGAATGGAGCTCAGCAGCAGTGTCTGCCTGGCAAGTGTGAGTCCTGAGTTCCATTCCTGGAACTGAGTTCCATTCCCCCGCCAATAAATTAAGATGGAGGCATTAAAGTTACAAAATCTTTAAAAAGGCTGCAAAGGCACATTTTAACTCATACATCTTCCTACACAAAGACTACATGTTATAAAATAATTCATGGACAACACAGATTAAAAACAAAATCAACAACCCTCAAATACACTTTCCAAACCGCCACACAATACCTAAAAATATTTTCTTTAACTCTCACTTGGAGAAGTTTTAACATAAAAAGAAAGCACCAGGAACTGGGCATAGTAGCACACACTTATAATCCCAGCATTCAAAAGGCTAAGGCAGGAGGATAAGAACTTTGAGCCCAGACAACAAAGGGAGACTCTGTCTCAAAAACAAACAAACAAACAACAACAAAAAAAAAGAAAAGAAAAAGAAAAAGCCTGCAAAAATAAAGCACTAAATTTAGCCATATAATTCCCCACTTTAAAAAGTTATTATAGGGCTGGGATTTAGCTCAGTGGCACGGCGCCTGCCTGGTAATCTCAAGGTCCTCAGTTCAATCCTCAGTACTGAGGAAAAAAAGTTATTATATATATAAAACTTAAATGTATTATAAAACTTGACAATCATTTTATTTTCTTTTGTTTTTTTTTTTTTGAGACAGGGTCTTTCTTTGTAGTTTGTGCTGTCCTTGAACTTACTATGTAGCCCAGGCTGGCCTTGAACTCGTGGTGATTCTCCTGCCTCAGCCTCCCTAGTGCTGGGATTATAGGCATGCACCACCATGCCTGTCTGACAAATCAATTTCATATATAGTATTATGAAATCAAAAGGCAAAGCTGGGAATTTAGCTCGGTGGTTCCACAGCCTTCCTTGTAAGCACAAGGTCCTGAGTTTCATCTCTGGTAAGGCAAAGCTATTAAGTACTTGAGCTACAGTCAGATGCTTAGCAAATCAAAGTAAGTATACAGGAAAATGTTAGACACAGAACCATCAATCACTATAATAGGTCGTCCATTATTTCCCTTTTTCATGACTCAAAATTTTTCAAGTAAGGGAAATGTTCTGCATTCTAATTTTTAGTAAAAATTTAAAGTCTGGCTTAGGCTGATTCGTCTCATCTGTATTTCAACACTCACTTTAGTTATTATTATTATTTTTTTAGTACCAGGGATGGAACTCAGGACCTTGCACTTGAGGGGCAGGCAGCAGAACCAACTGAGCTAAATCCCTGATCTATTCATTTTAATTATTAAAAGCACTTATCTACAAAGCAGTCAGGATTTTTTAAAAATTCAAATTTAACAGTGATTTTATACACAAGTATTTTTACGGCAGAAAATTAACTGCAACTGAAAACAAGGCTACAAACTCACCATGCATCTAAAAAAATACACATGTTTCTCAAAATTGGCAGAAACATCATAAGGGTATACTGTACAGGCTGATATATTACAATCTTTTTTTTAGCAATTCCATTAAAAACAAGGTTTCTATAAATTATTTTAAATTAATAAATTACTCAGTTTAAAATGCTGTTTTCATAAATAACAGTCTAGATATTGAGTATATGGGACTCCCACAAATAACAGCAAAATACTTCAAATTATTTAATTCAAATATTGTTCTGAAAGGACTGAAATGTAGTATTTAAAATTTATAATTGACTGATCTGTAACAATGAATTCCAGATTACACTGGTAGAAATTAGATATGTAGTACTGTCTATTGGTTCTTCACATCATCACAGGATAAAAATTTATATTCTAAGAAACACAATGACTTCACCAGTTATACTGTAATACAGTAACCCAGTCAGTTAGTGTACTTATGAAGGAAGCGTTCAAATGCATCGTAGATGGCTTGTCTAAAATTAAATATAAAAGAAAAACAGCAAGTAATTAGTATAAGGAGTGGGAGACAGACAACACCTATAATGTATTTCCAAAATTACCTGTGGTTTATAAACCAACCTCCTCTCCACACTATAAAAAGGGTAAAAATGTTGTGTGTGGGTGGACTGTCTACCACTGAAAAACCTGAAATGTGTTTTACCTGAGAATGGAGCCAGGAGTATCTTTTCTAAAAGCCTTTCTTTGTACATAAGAAACATTATACACACATATACACATAAATAGCACAACAACTAATTTCTTCTCACTATCTTTGTCATTTTGTTGAAAATTATGTTACTTTTAGATTGTGGGATTCAATCTATTTCACTGAATGATTTTTTTTTTAAAGCTAAGAACATGTGTCTGGCAACTGAACTTAAAATCAAAAGCATTGCTTTCCTATATTAACTTCAGTGGATGTTTTCCTATTTCAAATGGAAAGGAACAAACTGTTCTGGTCCTTCAAAAAAATATTTTAAAATGCCAGGCATGGTGGTGCATGCCTGTAATCTCAGCACTTGGGAGGCTGAGGCAGGAGGATCGTTGGGAGTTTTAGGCCAGTCTGAAATAGTGAGACCTTGCCTCAAAAAAAAAAAAAAAAAAAAAAAAAAATTA